CAGAGGACAGCCCCACACCTATCTATTCTAAACGTGACAGTTCCAAGGATCTGGGGTGGACACAAATAACTGTCTAGTCTTCAAAAACTAGTCTGTTCCATCTGCACTCCAACCTCATCCGTACACAGATGAAAACAAATGACAGCTGGAAAGAAAAACCCAATTTGAAGCCACGGGCCCGATAATTCAAGTTTTTGTTTCATTTAATTTTCATTTCGCTTTTAATTTGTATACTGTACCACCTTTCTAGGTTTACAAGGCGGTTTACCAGCTGAAGAAATAACAAAACATACAACAAAGATCACACATCTTATAACACTGCAATTCAGTAGAAATAAGCCATAATAAAATATATGACTTAAAATAAATGACTTCTACCAAGTAATATTCAATAATCCATTAGAATATAACTACTGTATACTGTACTTTAAAATTAACTCTCAAAATATCAGCAAATAGTATTAAACAGAAATTCACTCTCAACAATTGCAATGAATCATTTATTATAATCAATGAAAATAACAGCAAAATTACAATACATAAAATGCCACAATATATAAGAAACACGTATACCAAACCTTTATACCAAGGCAGATTCCTCCTAACATTCCTGCTTGAGCGATGTCAAAAGCTCTCCCTGCCCTGCCCTAAGCCCAATATTACCAATTTACAATTAGCCAGCAAACCTAGTTACAGGAAATTATCCATTCCTATCTGTTAATTGGAACTGACAAGGCCAACGCCCCTCTCTGATCACTGACTTAAGCAGGGCTGTTTGCTTCCCCTCTTTGCCTATCAATTAAACTCCCATACTACACATTTCGCCAGCTGCAGCCCGGATGGCAGCACCGCTCACTGCTCTAAACAAACAAGGGCTGGCAGCACAGCCAGGAGAGACGCAGACATCAGCAATCACTCACCGGAACATGAGCTTCCTATAAACTGCAAGTGGGGAGAGAGGAAGGAATACTGACAGAAGGCTTAAATTTTGTGGGTTATTTTTTAAAAGATGAATCCACAATGCTTAGACATGCTGCATGCGGACTTTTATATCCTGTATGCAAGCACGTCCCTTAAAATGGAGACTTAAATCATGCACAATGGCAAATTCCTACTTTTAACACACCACTATTAATATAGGAGAGTGTGGAAAAATAGCTGGGAGAAAAGGTTATAGGCAATGCTAGTCCTACTCAAGAGCAGATCCAATGTATTTAATGGACATGATGAACTTTAGGTCCATTCATTTAAATGGGACACAACCCAAAGTATTTACTTCTTCTTGGAAGTAAGCAAGCTATGCACACACACTATATTAAAGCTTCTGTTTAACTCCAGAGTTTTTATCTCTCTCTCAGATTTGAGACAGAAGAGAACAGCTTATCTCATTACGGTTGCTGAGAATCGCAAGTGAGGAGAGTGCTGTTGTTTGGACTTCTTATGCATGGCCACTGTGAGAACAGGACGCTGGACTAGATGCGACTTTGGTCTGACCCAGAGCCACAGGGCTCTTCTTATGTTCACCACACCCATGGGAACATTTTTTTTTAAACTGTGGGATATAGGTAGAGGAACATGTGAGCTTTGAGATGTTCCTTGACTACAACTCCCATCATCCCTGATCACTGGGCCATGCTGGCTGGGGCTGATGGGAGTTGGAGTCCAACAACTTCCAAGTTTACTTGAGAGATCACTGTACTCCTTATGTACTCAGTAGTTCAGTGCATTATACAGGAGAATCATGCCCCAGAATACCAGTTGATGGGAATCAAAGGTGGATAGGAGTGCTGCTGCTGCTGCATGCATATTCAGCTTGCAGGCTTCCCACAGGCATTTTGTTGGCCACTATAAGTACAGGATGATGGACTAGATGGTCCACTAGCCTGGTCCAGCAGGCCTGTCTTACACCCTCATGTCCTAGGAACAAAGGAAGCTGCCTTATACTGAATCAGGCCCACTGGTTCACCTAGCTCAGTATGGTACACAATAACTGGCAGTGGTTTTCTGGGGTTTCAGACTGGGTTCTCTCCCAGCCCTACCTGGAGATGCCAGAGATTGAACCTGGGACCTTCTACATGCAAAGCAGGTGCTCTACTGCTAAGCTACAATAAGGACATAATTTGTCTGCCTAAGTCTCAGATTCAGTTATTTGTAACTACAGATAAAAGGGTCTTGGACAGGGCAGCTATGCCCAACCCTTATCTCTCCTTCTGAAGCAAGAAGCATAGAAAACGTTGAAACAATAAGGAAAATTGGACTGCAAACTGTTCCTGGAGCTGAACAAACTAATCAAAACAATCCCACCCCCACCCCTTTAATCTCTACAATAAAGCCGGGGGGCAGGGGGTTGGACTCGATGGCCCTTGTGGTCTCTTCCAACTCTATGATTCTATGATTCTATGAAAGCCCATGCTCTCAATAGAACAGACTGGTGTGTCTTTGAAAACCAAAGTGTGGCAGGTTTGTACGGGTCAGAATGAAATATAGACATAATAAATGCACGGGTCAGAATGAAATATAGACATAATAAATGCAATGAACTTGCTATCTTAACATTTTGGCTGGTTGTGAATATTGCCAGACTGGTTTCCCAATCAGGGACTTGGTCCTGTAAAAGATTTTACTTAGCAAAAGGTTTATTCAGACAAACCACTAATTAAAAGCTTACGTTAATAGCAAGGAATAGACTTGACACCAAATGGTCTCCTGCACATAATCTCCTTATGTCTGATCAATCAAGGGGCAACCTGTGGGATGTGTTTTTTAATCCCTTTATTGACTAAAGTAGACTTTAAAGCAAGTTGCTGATGATGGTAACAACCTAGCAAAACAAAGTAGTAGCAGAAGAAATTGTCCACAGGTTAGAACTGTTCGATTTCTAAGTTGCCCTTCACCATGAGGTCCCAGGGCAGGCTACAACTATTTAAAATTCAGTATTAAAAACAGTTTAAAACAAATTAGTCAAGGGAATAGGGTGGGTCTTGTAAATGTATATATCTCAGGTGTCCAGGGTAAAGAGATGCGTCTTCAGTATTTGATGAAATCTATATAATGGTGCTAGATGCCCCTCCATGGAGAGGGAATTCCACAACCTAGGATCTGCCACAGGGAATGCCCTCTCCTGGGCATCCACCACAAATTTCTGAGGGCAGTGGAATTACCAAGAGGTCCCCCGCTGCAGTGGAATTACCAAGAGGGTCTGTTGGGAAGAAGGAGGTCTTGCAGATATTTGGTAGTTATCCAGTCCAGCTGCTTAACCCCAACACAGTACAGCCCCCTTCCCTGTACATAATGGTGCATCTCCAGCTTTTCTTTTCATAAAGAACTCCCAACAGCTGCTTCATCCATTGTCAAAATGCTCTTCAAGTTCCCACAACAATTATGGTGAGTGTTCTACTCCTCTCCAGTGTTAGAAACTCACCGATATATAAGCTAATCGCCAAATGGCACCACCACAATGATATATTTGGCATCATTCCCCCCTGCCCCCAGTGTAGTGTTTGTTGTTGTTATTATTAATTTCATTTCTATACTGCTTTATATTGTAAGAAAAAAATCTCAGTGGTTTACAACACATCAAATCAAACAATACAGAATAAAACAAATTCAAGCTTTAAGGAAAATATTTCAGATCCTTCTCTAGGTGACATTTTGCTTTCCCCATATTTACCTACTTAATTTACATAGTTCCTCCACAGCAGAAGTACTCTAGAAAGCCAGTGTGGTAGAATGGTTAAGAGTGGCAGACTAGGACCTAGGAGATCAAGGTTCAAATCCCCAACTCAGTCACAGGGTGACTTTGGGCCAGTCACAGCCCCTTAACCTACCTCACAGGGTCGTTGTAGGGATTAACTGAGGAGGGGGCAAGCCATGTGCTCCTTGGAGGAAAAGGTGGGATATAAATGCAATAAATACACTCTCCTGCTTACCTGCTTAAAGAAAGCTGGAGGGGCCTGCCAGATGGAGATGTCAGTTGCCAACCTGGCATCCAGAGATCTCCACATGGTTGCAATCGGACCCACTCCAGTCATAAAACACGCCTGGCTAATTTCTAGCACTGCTCCCCTCTACACAATTAGTGTCAGCTCTTTCTCTCTGCATGATTGCTGTGTTTCTTCTTGCATTAGCACACTGGAAGTAGCTGCACAGTTCCAGAAGGGAAACCACATTTGTTGCTTTAGCTGCAACAGACTTCACTGGCACAGATCCTGACTTGTTAACAAATGATCACTGGATATCGCATCCAAAACAGCACAGAACCCTGTGGCACCTTTAAAGATTAAAGGGTTTTATTATGGCATATGCCGTCATGGAACAGAGGCGACATCAGACTTGTTTTAGGATGTGGACTCTCACTGAGAAAAGCTTATGCCATAATAGACCTGTTAGGTCTTCAAAATGCCGGAAGCCTCTTGTAATTTTAGCTACATGTTGAATCTTGTCTAAATAAAGTGGAACTATTCTGAAACATGCATCCAGAGAACAGAAGTCGTATTATTTCTTTCATTTCAATTAATGCAATCCTGAATCTATTCAATCCAACACTTCTGAAGTAGACCATAGACATAACTGTCTCAAATCTAGTTTAGATGTTCTTCTTAGAAGTGCTACTTATTAACCAGGTTGTCCTACCTTGTACAGGCAAACTGTGGTTTGTATCTAATGCTAGTTCTACTCAAAGTAGCCCCACTGAATTTAACAGTCTAATCTGGGTCTGTTACTTTCAGTGTGTCTACTCTGAGTACAACTTAAGTCAGATACAACCTTGTGTGTTCCCTCATTCCTGGGTGTGGATTTTTGTACTTGTCCCTGTCAAAGACTGTATTGGTTATCTCCCCAGCTCTGTCTAATCATTTGGAATCACTGGTTTGGCATAACAGCACATTAGACTTTAGTCTAATGAGTGCATTCCCACCTTACATGAGTGATTTCTGGCCCAAATTTCTCACACTTTCAAAAGACACGCAACAGTTAGCAATAAAATACCAAGATGCCCGTACCTGCAAAACGGAGAGGTGCATCCTTATCCAGTGCTATCAATGGGGGGTCCAACAGTACTGTGTTGTCGTTTTCTGTAACTATGCCATGGTAAGTTGTTTCAATCCACGGTTTGTGCTTGTTAACTAAGACAGAGAGAGAAAAGCAAGGTGAAGAATATATCAAGAAAAAAAATTGTATTTATTTAAAAGTGTAACAGATTGTATCCAGTTAAGTCCTACCTACACAGATTCAACCCAAATTAGCCATTTCCATTATTTCAATGGCTCTATGTTAGATACAATGTAATGTTTTGATGCTATACGTCCATTTGGGGACACCATGTTCACCAAAAGGCCCCCATGAAGCAGCAATTTGACAACAAAGATGATTCATTTTGAAGTAGTTTACAGAGTGTCTTCTTCCAGCATTCAAGAACGACCAGATTATGCCAACAGCAGTAATTTTCACACTGGTAGTGTGAAGCCATGCATCAAAGCTAATCTGGCCCAAGCTTTGTGAGAAAAATGGAAATTCTTACCATAAACCTCTATGGAGAGCATTCCTGAAGCTTGGCAAGGGAAGAAGCAGGCCTGTGATTCTGGCCACAAGAAAAGGAGACACAGTAGGTCTCCCTCCTCACATCCCTCCAGCTGCAGGAATGCCCCCCAGGAACCCATGGGAAAGATGGCCCTTCACATGCCCTCTCAAATATCTGCTCACCTAGTGGAATGTTGTTACATGTTATGTTTGCTGAGCCCTGTCCTACATCATTCATTTAAACCAAGGCCACAATCCCTTCTGAGGGCCACATGCTAGTGGCCAGTGGTGGATGGGGCCAGTGGCAAAAGTGGCTTAACAATGAATGCAAATGCTACCTTTGTCTCGTGGACTATTTTGTACACACATTTACCCAGCTCTCTGTCCTCTTTCCTGCCAAGAAAGAGGTTATTATTGGAGCTGAAGGACACATTCCAGTCAGGCAAAAGCACTCGGGATGCAAAGCAGGGCCAGTGAGGTATGTGGACTGGGGAATAGCTCCAACTGACGAGTGAGGCCTGGTTCCCCGTTGCTGCTGTAAACCTAGACACTCAGTCACAGATAGCAGGACAAGATATGCCCTATTGCTCAGTTTTTATGTAGATTACAGCAGCCAACCAGGAATTTCATCAAGTTAAGTAATGCACCAGGTGTCCCTAATATGGCTTGGTTTTGGACATGAACAGAATGTTAATGCTACAGAGGCAACCCTGCACACTGACTCCAAACTCCACAGCTATGTGCTTTCAGTATTTCTTCTAATCTAACTGCAGCATATAAAAACTCCTAAACTTGCAGGTGAAGACTAAAAACTAAGGAGAAGCTCATTGAGATGTCTTCCAAACTATGTATATGTGGCATTACAGCCTTAAAAGCAGGCCTCGTGGAAGCTGTGGCTTTCCACGTGTGATTGGACCACAACTCCCATCATCTTTGATAGCTGGTCACACTGGCTGGAGCTGATGGGAAATGAAGTCCAGCAAATATTGGAGGTCCACAAAAGTTCCCTATTACTGCTTAACATCAATGCAATGCTCCATATACCAAACATGAAGTCTACCGTTCTACATTTAAACCTCCAATAACATGCCATATACTGCCTCTTCTACTACATCTTTGCATCTTTGGTAACCATAGAGTTACCAAAAAAGAATATTTAAATGCAATTTTGAAACAAGTTTTATTTGCATTATGTTGAATACTGCCATGTTTGGCCATAACATTGTGCTAGGCATGAAGGCCTCAGAGGATGAACTTGACACCACTGAGAAACAGGCAGGGACCCGTAACTCCAATGCTGAAGATCCCCTTGAGGGGCCCTCTGGGTTAACACCTGAACAAGAGCCTCATGACATCAAATGAGGCGGTGGAGCCACACCCCAGTCCACAACAGCACCACAAGGTTTAGGTCCCTGCAACAGCACAGCAAGCATCTACAGGAATCTGCAGGTACTCATGCATAAGTAATCCATGATACAGTAGTGCCCCGCAAGACGAATGCCTCGCAAGACAAAAAACTCGCTAGACGAAAGGTTTTTTCGTCCGCGATTTGCCTCGCAAGACGAATTCCCTATGGGCTTGCTTCGCAAAACGAAAACGTCTCGCGACTTTGTTTCCTTTGTGTAAAAACCGTTAAAACCAAGGGTGCTTAGCTTGAGCAGCTGCAGTTGCGACTTGACTTCGAGGAGCAACTGTTAGCACGTGGTTTGGTAGCCTTTTCTCAGACTTTGCTCACTTTTGAAGATTTTCCAAAACTTTTCCAGAACTTTTCCAGAACTTCTCTTTCATCCATTTGGTAAGTTAAACTTTTAAAACTTTTTTGGGGGGTTTTGGATTTTGGGTTGGGGTGTTTGGGATTCAAGGACTTGGTGTTGGGAAGGGGTTTGCGATAATCTGGGGGCTTGTGGGCCTTTTTTGGGAATTTTTATGATTTTCTGTGACCACTGGGCCAGGTTGTTTTTTTTTTGAAAATTTTTCTGAGTTTGAATTTCTGAGTGCTGGCTGGCTAGGGGAACTGTTGGGGAGGTTTCTGCAGAAATCTGGGACCATGTGGGGTTTTTGGGGGAATTTTTATGATTTCTGTGACCACTAGGCATGGTTGTTTTTTTTTGAAAATTTTTCTGAGTTTGAATTTCTGAGTGCTGGCTGGCTGGGGGAACTGTTGGGGAGGTTTCTGCAGAAATCTGGGACCATGTGGGGTTTTTTGGGGAATTTTTATGATTTTCTGTGACCATTGGGCCAGGTTGTTTTTTTTCAAAAATTTTTTTCTGAGTTTGAATTTCTGAGTGCTGGCTGGCTAGGGGAACAGTTGGGGAGGTTTCTGGAGAAATCTGGGGGCTTGTGGGGGTTTTTTTGGAATTTTTATGATTTTCTGTGACCACTAGGCATGGTTGTTTTTTTTTGAAAATTTTTCTGAGTTTGAATTTCTGAGTGCTGGCTGGCTAGGGGAACTGTTGGGGAGGTTTCTGCAGAAATCTGGGACCATGTGGGGTTTTTTGGGGAATTTTTATGATTTTCTGTGACCATTGGGCCAGGTTGTTTTTTTTTTGAAAATTTTTCTGAGTTTGAATTTCTGAGTGCTGGCTGGCTGGGGGAACTGTTGGGGAGGTTTCTGCAGAAATCTGGGACCATGTGGGGTTTTTGGGGAATTTTTATGATTTTCTGTGACCACTAGGCATGGTTGTTTTTTTTTGAAAATTTTTCTGAGTTTGAATTTCTGAGTGCTGGCTGGCTGGGGGAACTGTTGGGGGAGGTTTCTGCAGAAATCTGGGACCATGTGGGGTTTTTTGGGGAATTTTTATGATTTTCTGTGACCATTGGGCCAGGTTGGGTTTTTTTTGAAAATTTTTCTGAGTTTGAATTTCTGAGTACTGGCTGGCTAGGGAACTGTTGGGGAGGTTTCTGCAGAAATCTGGGACCATGTGGGGTTTTTGGGGAATTTTTATGATTTTCTGTGACCACTAGGCATGGTTGTTTTTTTTTGAAAATTTTTCTGAGTTTGAATTTCTGAGTGCTGGCTGGCTGGGGGAACAGTTGGGGAGGTTTCTGCAGAAATCTGGGACCATGTGGGGTTTTTTTGGAATTTTTATGATTTTCTGTGACCACTAGGCATGGCTGTTTTTTTTTTTGAAATTTTTTTTCTGAGTTTGAATTTCTGAGTGCTGGCTGGCTAGGGGAACTGTTGGGGAGGTTTTCTGCAGAAATCTGGGACCATGTGGGGTTTTTTTTGGAATTTTTATGATTTTCTGTGACCACTAGGCATGGTTTTTTTTTTTGAAATTTTTTTTTCTGAGTTTGAATTTCTGAGTGCTGGCTGGCTTGGGGAACTGTTGGGGAGGTTTCTGCAGAAATCTGGGACCATGTGGGGTTTTTTTGGAATTTTTATGATTTTCTGTGACCACTAGGCATGGTTGTTTTTTTTCAAAAAAAAATTTTCTGAGTTTGAATTTCTGAGTGCTGGCTGGCTAGGGGAACTGTTGGGGAGGTTTATGCAGAAATCTGGGGGCTTGTGGGGGTTTTTTTGGAATTTTTATGATTTTCTGTGACCACTAGGCATGGTTGTTTTTTTTCAAATTTTTTTCTGAGTTTGAATTTCTGAGTGCTGGCCATGTTGTTATTTTTTGAAATTTTTTTTGTCTGGGTGGGGAAGCAGTTGGGGAGGGGTTTGCAGCAGTTGGGGAGGGGCTGGGGGAGCAGTTGGGGAGGGGTTTGCAATTTCTGTGTTGTGGGTGGGTTGGTGCGTGTCTGTGGGAGCAGTTGAGGTTTTTGAAGACATTGGTGATTTTTGAAGCTTTTCCTAAACTTATTTTGCAGCCATTTGAGGTTTCTGAGGACTTCGGTGGTTGATTGTTGAAGCTTTTCCAGAACTTCTCTTTCATCCATTTGGTAAGCTAAACTTTAAAACTTTTTGGGGGTTTTTGGATTTTGGATTTGGGGTTGGGGTGCTTGGGATTCAAGGCCTTGGTTCTGGGTTTTAATTTCTGTGTGGTGGGTGGCTGGCTGCTTTTGTATTTTTTGGGTTTGAAGCACATCACTGATTTTTTTTTTCTGTTTCTGAGTTTACGAAGGTAGGAGCTGTGCTGCCATGGGACCCAAGAAGACTGCTGCTGCGGTGGCCGGCGAGAGGAAGAAGGAGAAGGTGACGCTGGAAATGAAGAAGGAGATCATCTGGAAGCACGACGGCGGAATGCGTGTGACGGACATCGCCAGGGAGTACGGCAGGAACCCATCGACCATCGGGACCATCCTGAAGATGAGGGAGAAGATCCTGGCGACTGATGCAGCCAAGGGAGTCACCAGGATCGTGAAGAACCGCCCAGCTGTCCTGGAGGAGGTCGAGAAGTTGCTGCTCATCTGGATAGAAGAGAAGCAGCGTGCAGGGGACACAGTGTCTGAGGCCGTCATTTGTGAGAAGGCCAAGGCCTTGCACGCTGACCTCATCCGGGAACAGCCAGGAACCTCAGCCGAGCCAGAAGTCTTCAAGGCTAGCAGAGGTTGGTTTGACCGGTTCAAGACAAGATCTGGCATCCACAGCGTGGTCAGGCATGGAGAGGCTGCCAGTTCTGATGTTCCTGCGGCTGAAGACTTTGCAGCGGAGTTCCTGGAG